GAACCAAAAAAATCGGATTATTTGAAGATGATGGTTGGAAGACATAAACAAATATCGAGATTATTTAAAAATTAATTATATAACAATATTTAAAAGGTAAGAATCATAGAAAAAATTGATTATTAGAGATCATGAATGAAGATGCTCTTAGTCACTAAATAAGATTGATCTTTGACATCATCCATTGACATTGATCTTTGAACTAACTAATTAAGATTGTTGATGTATTCATATTTATTATAAGTTTATAGGAAAATAGCAAAATTGAATACAACAAGAAAATATAAGGGCATTCCTATTCATAGGATTATTTGAGGATTAAGTTGTTGATGTGACAGATTATTTTGGGGATCATGATTGAGTGGTGAAGATTATTTGACAAAATAATTCAGGATTGAAATATGGATCCAGATTATCTCAAGATTATTGTGAAGATAGTATTAATTATTGAGTGCAGGACCCAAAAAAAATCTGATTATTTTGAGATGATGAATAATATAAGTTTGAAGATATGAGATCATTTTGAAAAAATCTACATGTCAATCTATGTGTCATTAAAAACCCGTTTATAACTTGTACATGTGACTTCTATTAAATCTTCTTTTAATTTTATGCGACCATTTGTTTAGCATATTCGTATTATCAATAAAGATTTTATTAAACACTACTTCAATAAAGTACACACAAAGAATTGACATCATTTTAATTGCTAAAGATGACAAATTTAGATTTTTGATTTTTTTGGAGTTTCACTTTTTATGATATGTAAATACTTCAATAGATTTTTTGTGTCTTTTTTCAATTAATCAACATAGTCAACAACATTTGAGGTATCATACTTTAATAACAAGTACAAATATTCATGCATTGAAAATGTTGACACAATTCAAGGATACTAACGAATGCTCACAATTATAATGCTTTTAGATAAAAGGAGGTAAATAATTTAAATATTCCAAAATTTAATGGGGTGTGAGATAAACACTCAAAACTTGCATATGTAACATACACACACACATAGCTCAATCTTTATATAAAAAATTATTTTCTCACCATGATTGTATGTTTCTTTACAAATACAAATTTGTTGGAATAATTACATAATTTAAAGTACTCTAAGCTTTGTTAGAATGCAGTTAATATTCTAAATTTTTATTTGTGAAAATAAATTATATTACGTTCAGTACAATTTAATTGTAATTGCATTCCTATTAATATTTTGTATTACATCTTAAATTATTTACTAAAATCATAAAATTACATTTGTGAACAATAACAGAATTTTTTATATAAAAATTGAGGCCTATATATTATATTTGCAAATTAGGGATACTCAATTGAGCCATTGCAATATACAGCATATTCTTTCTGTAGTGTTCCCCCACTTCATTCTAAACTACTCCGTATAAAATACTACAGCCATTAGAGCAGACTGAGAACACACGAACGATGTGCTCCTAACTGGATGGAACGTCAAAGCTTGGGAATTACACCTCTTAGTTAATCTGTGAAAGTGTGAAACAAAATTCAACTACAGAGTTTTGCCGTCAAACGAAGTTGCTGGCTCCAAGAGCTGTTTCCGGCACCTCCGCCACCATAACTATCCAATTGCATCTGTAACTTTCTATCTCTCTGTATATGGGCATCCTCATTTATCAATTTATAAACGACTGAATGATGATGTGTTGTATCGCTGAGCTATTACCCTAATTGCATGCTTCCATTCGAATCTTTTCTTTCTCAATCATTAGACTTCTCTTCAAGGAAAAGCTAGTCAGTCTCCTTCTTTTCCTCATGCTTCAATTAATATTTATTTTGTTTCCTTTCTTGAATAGCAGTTTACCCCTCAAGTTTCAATTTTTTTTTTCCAAAATGGCAGGGGCTGGTAGTGTTTTCTTTTCCCCATTCTGTAAGCCGTTTTTTTGTATAATGTGTGTGGTGACTTACTGACTTTAATCTTTCCAGAATTCCCATATGCTTTTGTGTGCATTTCAAGTTGCTGAATTAGGCCTTGGGACCTATTGTTTCGAGAATCAGTTTTCTCTCATTGTTTGGAACATAATTAAGCAACACTTGGAATTCAACTGGTAATTTTCGTTGCCAAAACTTAAATGTTTGAAAATTCTTCCAGACTGCCGGATGAATGGAAGAAAAATATGGGCATTAGGAACATGGTTTTAAAAGGCTCTTAAGGGGCGGGTTTTGAGATGTGCCTCAAGGTGAGGCGTACATATTGGGTATCAGGGCTTAGTTTTTTTCGCAGGTTAAGAGGCTCACGCCTCAAAAGTTGAGGCGTACGCCATTGAGGCGCGCCCTGAGGCATTTGTTGAGGCGTTTTTCCTTTGTTTCTATGTTTTTAATGTGCAGTAACTTAAAAAAGGCCCAAGGTATTTCATTTAATAAAAAGCTCAGAGTACTTTTTAAATAGAAGTCCATTAATTAAACATGTTGCCACACTAAACCCTAACAAGTCTTATTTCATTTAAACCCTAACAAGTCTTTTATTCATTTAAATCCTAAGTCCCTAACGTATACTTTCTATTCATCTCAGTTTAGGTGTGATGTTTCTGTGTGTGATATGTCTGTTTGTGTGACGTTTCTGTGTGTGATACGACTGTTTGGGTGTGATGTTTCGATTGTGTGTTTGATTTCTAATGACTTACTGGTAATAGCTCATATGTGTTTGTGTTTCACACTTTTTGGACTTATAATTATGGATATATCCTTTGTAACTATAGATATAACTATATATATAGTTGTTTGTTACTAGTTTAACTATTTTAACTTTTATATGTATATATTTTGAGACTTGCGCCTCAATACGCCTCAAGGCTTATGCCTCGCCTCTTAGGAACAAACTGCCTTTATACCCGAACCGCCTTTTTAAACCTTGATTAGGAAAAAACAACAGGTTAAATATTTTATATGTATTCTGGTTTAGACATTATTTCTTAATTTTAAATCCATCTAGTATATTTCTTAATTTTAAATCCATCTAGTAGTTTTTCACTGACAAAGATATAAAAATATCATTCTTACATCAAACAATATTTTATTTTAAAATTTTAATTTAAAAGTAATTTCGAACACCCACAACTTAGTTGCTAGATCTGCCATGGGTGCTCAGAATGTGACTTGTCTTGTTTTGTTTCGTTCCTTACAACGTAGTACAACAGTAGGAACAGATAAGATCGTCGTATTTCTTTCGATATAATGCGGCAATAGGAATATAGAAGGCAGTGCTTTGCGTTTAGGTCTTGAGGACGTGGAGTTGTGAAGGTTATCACTGTTGAGAAATGTAACAGAGACCGAGAGTATAGACAATAGAATGAAGATGATAACATAGAATGAAGATGATAACAAAGCTTTTTATATTTTCGGAAGTAGGTGTACAATATTTGTACAAGAGTATTAGGAAAATATCTATAACTGTTAGCTAACTAACAATACAATATTAACAAAGTACAGTCAGCTTTTATCCTTACAAAATGCACAATCAGATATATTCCTAATATTCTCCCTTCAAACTGAGGGTTATTGAGTTGGACATTCAATCACACTAAGGATGTTTTCCTTTGGACTGTTTTCAGTCCCAGACTTGACTTCCGTAGTTATAAAATACACAGAGACCAGACGTTTACCAGACCAGATCAGACCAGCAAATTTCAGACCAAAAGAAAACATCCTAAGTCTGGTCTTTAACTCAAGAAAGCGAGAGCTGGAAAGATGTTTGGTCAGCACATCAGCAACTTGATAGAGAGTAGGGATATGTAAAACTTCAAGTTTCTTTAAGAAAATCTTTTCATGAACAGAATATAGATCAAGCTCCATATGTTTGATTCTATAGTGAAAAACATGATTATGAGCAAGATGTACAGTGCTGAAGTATGAACAATAATTGTAGTACTTGAGTGCCTAATACTTATGGAGCGCAACCTTATCCCCTATACTTATGGAGCCCGAGTAACGGAACATATCAGTGACCGATATCTCCTTAACATCTAGGGTAATCTCAGGCGATCTTCTCGTAAAAGACCCAACATTCAATGTCCCAAAGCGCAATCTAAAACTCCACCTTTTATTCTTAACACCACTTTGATCCCCACCATGCTCTCAGATATATGACACCATCCCCCATGCACTGGGGTGACGAGCCGCTTCCCGGCGACGATCTCGCAACTTTAGCATTCTTATCACCACACCAAGGCCTATGAAGTGAAGTGCGCCCTTGCATATTTGACACCACCTCCTGGTGGAAGGATGATGTGTCACTTACTGGCAACGACCTAGGTGTAGCGATATTCACATTTTGATTCATGTCATGTACTCATGTGATGTGATTAAGTGATACTCACCATCACTTACCTGCCACAACACCCTCCTCCTTTATGGTTTGGGACATGCAGAGTTAATAGTTCAAATTTTATATACTAATATATTATTTCATACAAAGTGTGGGTTAAATACTTAAACAATTTATTAGCTGCCCTAACTCCTATTTTCACTTTACAGGAGGATTAAGAAAGTAAAATTTGTTTGGCCAACAATTGTGCAGATGAGAGAGAAGTAATATGTATCACAACTTTTTGCCATAAAAAGAAAAATATTTTATATTGGGCCGGCCGACCGAAGAAGTAAAGAATGAATGAACATTTGAGATTGAGGAGTAACAAACAATAGAGTATACCGTGTGCAAGGTGATTAGTATTTGGATAATTATGCATACTAGTCAATCATCCATGATTTTACTCTACCCGTAGATCCAGATTGACGGAATCTATGCTGAATCAGGATGTTTTTACTTGGACTGTAATTTGTCCCAGACCAGTTCAAACCAGACCAGACTTGGATAGTTATAAAAATACAAAGAAACCAGACCAGATCAGACCAGTTCAGACCAGATCAGACCAGACCAGACCAGACCAGCAAATTACAGTCCAAGTAAAAACATCCTAATTCCCATGCTTTCCCTTTCGTTTGACCGTTATCAGTAATAAATCGCGGAAAAAGAAGTCAATCATCTGTTCAACAATTTCACTTCTCTATCTGAGCTAAATATATTCAGTCCAAATTTCAAATGGAAATAATTGGGTATAGTTGTATGATTATTTTATAAACATGGCATACATTATGCTTCAAGTCATCTCAATCTTCTATCTCATTTTCTTTCTGTTTGATACTTTTTTAAGCAGTGCTTCATAGTTCTCGAGACGGGTTCATAAATTCTTGGTTTCCAACTCTTAGTAGAAAAGAGTCCAAAGGCATTAGGGGAGCAGTGAAGCGTGAAATGGGTACTGGACGGATGGCTTTTATGATGGTGCTCGTGGGAGTTTTTGTACTTCATGGATTAGCTATATATTTATTCACAAAAGGCTTTCTTCTCACCCGCACAGAGCTTTCGCAATACAGCCAGTGCTCTGATATCCACAATTCTCCCTGCTTTCAACCTCCTTCATCTTTTATCAATCAAAAGAAAGAAGAACATGAAGAAACGGCCAAACATTCTCCCCATGTTAATAATCAAAGCCAAAGTTGTTGGACCAAGCAATCTGTTGACCGCCTTGTCATCATCGTTCTTGATGCTCTCAGGTACTACCTTCATATCTACATTCTCGCGATCTCTCCTTTCTTGTTTTTATAACCCCCCCCCCCCCCTCATTCCTTTCCAATTAGACTCCCCCCGCCTACAGAAAAGATTATCATGTTTGACAAGATGTATACATTTAGGGAAGTATATTTCTTGCATTTAAGTGCATGGTATTTTTCCCATTTTAATATCATAAATTTGAGTAGTATCCTATCCTATATATATACACACAGAGTATATTCTATATTCAGTTCTTATTCAAGGTACATTTTGGGGAATAAAGCAATAAAATAATTTGAATTTATTGATTGGGGACAGTTTTGTTGGGTATTTCAATTCAGTGAGAATATTTTTTATGAGACACAGAGAGTAAATGAGTTTAGTATAATGTAGCTTGTCTAATTAGTTACTTCTGCGTTAAAATTTAAAACAGGTTTGACTTTGTTGCTCCCAGCACATTTTTTCAGGGTACGCATCTGATCTCCTTTTCCCATCAATTTGCACTTTCTTTGATCTGTAAAAAATTGAGATAATGTTTCTTGGTACCAGTTCTTTTACATTCCCCCTTTTCAGGTTTGTCACTCTGTCAGTTCATTTATGTGCTACTTATTAATAGTTGCTTAAAACTTGCTTAACCCTCAACCATGGAGAGTACTTAAAGATCTGTTGTGCCTTGTCTTTCTTTCTTGCTTTTCTTTTTTCACTAATGTTTTAGAGAAGAAACCATGGATGGACAAATTACATGTATTGCATAAGCTCGCCACTCGGCCTGGATCATCTGCTAGGATCTTCAAAGCTATAGCAGATCCACCTACTACCAGTTTGCAGCGTCTAAAAGTAAATATTTTCTCTCCATGATTATTTCAGAAATGCCTATTTTCAAGTAAAGAACACTAGCTTTGACCCCCAGGCTTTACTCACACTCCCACCTGTGGTATTAGTGGTTAGTTTATGTTATTCATTTATCAAGTTTTAAGTCCACACATATCCATGTTGTTCAAGAATTATTCACATCAGAAATCTTGTTCTGATTGTAATTTTAGTTGTAATTCATTCCTATGTTTTTTATTGGGGCTTCAAAGTGCTTAGTTTTCTAATACCTTTGCTGTACATGGGATGCCTAGTCATATGACTTGGCTTAACTGATACCTTTCTTCCAACAATTTTCTATAATTTAATTTAATACTCCCTCCGTCCCCTTAAGTTTGTCCCGTTTTACCTTTTTCGTCCGTCCCACTAAGTTTGTCCCATACCATATTTGGTAACATTTGAGTGGTTAGAATTCATTCTTACTTTATTTACACTTTATCAATTCAATACCAACCACACAATTCCACTTTTTCTTAAAAACCACACCACACTCCTCCGTCCCAAACTTAGGGGGACGGAGGGAGTATTAATATTCTATGAAACAAGAAGTAAGTTGACTTTAATTACAAAAAATATGTTGAAGAGAATAAACGAAATAAGATGTAGTTTAACCAATGAGTACTGAGTAGTAAATGTAACATCTGTTTTGGGTCATATGGAGTAACAATTGTGAGGCGTTTTATGTATTCTGATTTAGGGCTTGACAACGGGTGGACTTCCTACTTTTATTGATGTGGGAAATAGCTTTGGTGCTCCTGCAATTATTGAGGATAATTTGATATATCAGGTAATGAAAAAGATGCATGTTAATAGAGAAACTATGATGTATTGCAGTGAATTCATTTCATCACTATAGTGTGACTACCAGCATGTATCCAATAGTGTTTATACAATTGATTTACATTTGTAGATGGTTCATAATGAAAAGCGAGTGTTGATGATGGGAGATGACACTTGGTTGCAGTTGTTTCCTAAACATTTTAACAGATCGTATCCGTTCCCTTCCTTCAATGTCAAAGATCTTCATACGGTATGTTTTGTATCGTATTTTAGTTTTATTTATTAAGACCATTGTTGACACTTGCTCTTCCTGAGGAATTAGGCATTAAAACCCTATTTTGCATTAAAAATAGGATGTCGGGTTGCACATTGAAAACGATGCTTTCTAGCTGGATATTCATCATTCATATCTGCCAGGTTGACAATGGATGCATCGAGCACCTATTTCCATCTTTGCACAAAAATGATTGGGATGTGCTTATTGCACATTTTCTTGGAGTGGTATGATTATCATAAGCTACCTCAATGTTATCAATTACACCTGCAGCTTTTTCCCCACTAATTAATTCCAAAATTAAATGGTAAATCTCTAGGATCACGCTGGACATATATCAGGTGTTTATTCTGCTCAAATGATAGAGAAGTTGGAACAATACAATGGGATTCTGGAGGTACATTGTTAATTTAAACTGTTCTGCATATTTAAATTGACAATTAAATATGGCTGTGGTAGTTTCTGAAATTATGTTTGTGCATGTGCCATTGTGACACTCTTACAATGAGTTCGAATCCCTCAGTGCCTTTTATATACTTCTTCATACTATTCGAATAAAAGGGAGATCCCAACAAGAAAAGAAGTTTAAAACAAAAAGGGTAGGTGTATATTACAGACTTTCCTTATACATTCACCTGTGCCTTTAAGTCACTGCTTGTGTGAAACATATCTGCTTGTGTGAAACATATCTGAACTGGTCTGGTCTGGTCTGGTCTGGTTTCTTTCCATTTTTATAGCTATCCAAGTCTGGTCTAGTCTGATCTGGGACATATTACAGTCCAAGTAAAAACATCCTTAATTGGCATGTAACCTTAAATTCTTGATGCATATCAGCATATCTTCACTATTTCTTGATTGTATACTTGGATTACTTGCCAAATGAATCTGAATACTGGCTAGGTAGTGAATTGTGAAGTTGTGAATTTATTCTTCTGTTTTTGAGTGGCTTATCTTCAATGTACCATCTATTATGTTGTAAAGCATGATTAAATCTGGGTACGCTGGTCTTTATGTGTTGAAGGGGGGAGCCACATTGATTTGCATGTTACTTTTTGTGCGTAATTTCTTTTGCAATAATTAATGGGTCCGACCGTGTCTTTAGAAAATAGTAGATGTGCTGGAGGGCCAGAGTGGACCAGGAGGGTTACATGAAAACACTTTGCTTCTTGTGATGGGTGATCATGGGCAAACTGTCAATGGTGATCATGGTGGGGGGACTGCTGAAGAGGTTTAACACCTACTATTAACTTCAATCTCAAGAAACAAAGTACTGAAAACCACAAAAAGAACAAAAAACCGACAGTTTTAGATACTAGAACACAATTTTCTCTGTATCTCAGAGATAAATTTTTGCAGGTTGAGACATCACTTTTTGCCATGAGTTTTAAGAAGCCTCCATCTCCTTTACCAGTGGAATCCGGCCCTTCATCTTGCAATGTTGACTTGGTATCCCTTTACAACTATAATATTCTTTATTTTACACACTACATTTTGCTTACTATTTTTTTCCAAAAAAGATTAGATCAGATTCATAATCACTAGGCATGGAAGTGTAATGAAACACGAGTTTCCTCATTTTCTTTTTGGGAAAAGAGACACCAATATGTATGTGTCGGGCGTGCACACACGCGCACACTTAACTCACACTCTTCTCTTCATCTTTCTTTCTTTTGTCCTAAATAGCTATCACATCTATGATCTATCCTTTTAAGCTTAGTATATTACTAACAATTTTTCTTACGGTCTGAGTGTTTTGTATATTTGCCAGGATGGAAACAAGATGTGCATTAGCTCCATCCAACAGGTCAAGTCATAGTCTTGTCATGTGTTGGTGCTGATCCCCCCCCCCCCCCTGTTTTTTAGGAAAATGCACTAAGCCATGTTTTGTTGTTTCAGCTTGACTTCGCAGTTACATTGTCAGCTCTTCTTGGTGTTCCCTATCCATTTGGAAGGTGCTGTATAAGAGCATCATCTGTACATGTTGTTTGACTTGTTTTACTCATCATTACTTATTGATTTTGAAACCGCATTATACTTCCCTTAATTATTTTTTTCTTCTAAAAACTCAATTGTGATCTGTGAGGATAATCTTTTTTTATTTTGATGCTTTATATTACTTGGCTGAGTGCCTGAGCCCAATGTATTATAGCTTGACACCCTAAAAGAAGCATACAATCTGTTTGAGAGGCTACCAAAGGGCATCTGTACTGTTTCAAGTTTGCCATGACAGTGGTGGAGTGATAGGGCTTTGGTCATGTGAAGTCACAGACATGCCATCAAGGTTGATTATCACTCGAGAGACTTCATTTTTTTGGCAAAAATGTCGGCAGTATGAGAGGCAAGTAACTTAGGAACAGGAATGAGAGTGTGCTTTTAGTGTTGAGGCTAATGAGAAACACATTGGTGAAGATAAAGCCCTTTAGTTCTTTGCAGATAGTGTGGACAATGATCACTGTCATCAACAGTGTTCGTGTTTCATTTCCGCATCCTGGATGTGTTACAGGCGTGTTTGGGAGATAAAAAAGAAGAACGATAAGTATGATAGTTGGAAAAACAACTCAGCTTCCCGCCCTGGGCAAGGAAGTGTCTGTCGGTTCCACCGAGCGCACAAGAAGAATTATTTTCCAGAAAATTGATGATTTTATTCATTAATATGGCACCTCTATTTATACTAGTCCCAAGAGTCTTGGTGGTCTAGTATTAGAGTAACCCTAATTCTATTACAATAATTTTATTAGGGAATTGACTAGAATAAAATATCTCAACTAATAGGAAACTACAACTAATAATAACCTTAGGAAACTAACACCTAATACTTTAGGAAACTTACATTAGGAAACTAATAATAACCTTAGGAAACTAACACCCAATACTTTAGGAAACTTACTTTAGGAAACTAATAATAATGAATAATAAAGGTAGTAATAATGAGCTTCTTCTTTCTATATCAGGTTGAAGCTGGAGAAAACCGTGTTTGGTCTTTGAAAGAATGTTGGAGAAAATTAGAGGGAATATTTTCTGGATGGATTGTGTAAGATTGGTGATAGTGAAGTTCTGATGAAGCTTGGTGGTTGTGGTAAGATATTTTTGTTTGTAGAAATACGATGCTTCCAATTCACAGAGGAAGAAGCTAGCTTGTTTTTATGACCTCGTGCTTGATAGGGACCGGAGTGAAGCTAGCCAAAGTAGAATAAGAGCTACTCGGTCCTGGGGAATAGTCCGAAGCAAAGAGGTTAGACTAGATGCCACTCACGGATGTCCAGCTAGTCAATGGGTTGGCACTTGGCAGTGATACAACCCTTCCTGTCCGACGTTGTAAAATAGATGGAGGATGGATTCTTAAAAGTCAGAACTCCATTGTTGAGCTAACTTTTTATTAGAGCCAGAGCACCCTTTTCTTGCCATGTGTTCCGATACACAACGGAGTATCACAAGCTTTACAATACTGATAGAACTCATGCAAGTGATTAATGAACACAAAGTAAGAAAGTAACATTGAAGAAACAATCAAGCCTTCATTAATGGTGGAAAATGTATAGAGTTCACAACAAGAAACGAGACACCATATCTCAATTTCTTCCAGCCCAGCCTAACTGTTTAACAGCCTGTCTACTAACTTCCCAAACCCAGCTATTTATTCTTCTCCCAGCTACTACCGGAAAAGGCCAGCTCAGCTAACTCATCATCATCATCACCATCATTACCCCAGTGCCTCAAAGGCTCCCATCTACGATGGGGTAAGGGGGGGGGTCGGATGTACGCAGTCTTACCCCTGTACCAAAGCACCGAGAGACTGTTTCCGGATGACCCATAGTGAAATTCGCGTCAAAAATTGCATGCATTGACTGCTTTTTCATAATAAAGAAGCGCAGACAGTTTAGTGAGCCATTTTGCTTTATTCCATCATATTCCCAGCTCAGCTAACTACTAACTGTTATTCCTCCCTCATCTACAATAGACTTTTCCGTAGTATTTATTAGTTTCACAGGCTTTATTCGCATTTCTATCAATACTCCCCCCTGAACATCCACCTTGTCCCCAAGATGGAAATCTGGAAATTGCTCTTGAATCATCTGCACTGCTTCCCAAGAGTCTTCAAAGTCTGGGAGATCTTTCCAGTGTATCAGCACTTCCTTTTTGCCTTCTGCATTAATTCTGACATCCATTACCCTTTCTGGCAACACTTAAAGTTCCCATTCATCATTTAAGCATTTAGGGAGAGCCTGGTAGGGAGTTGTAGAAGACAACACCTTTTTGAGTAGTGATATGTGAAATACAGGATGTATTTTACTATCCTCAGGTAATTTGAGTTTTGAAAGCCACTGGACTGATCTTTTCTATGATCTCAAAAGGACCATAATATCTGGGACTCATCTTCTAATTCAATCTTTTTGCCAAGCTTTGCATTTTATAAGGCTGGATCTTTAAAAACACCTTATCTTTCACCTCCAATAGGACTTCCCTCCTATGTTTATTTGCCTGTAGTTTCAAATACAAATTGGCGACAGACCCATTTAAAGCATGAGTCTGAACTGGTATCTCCAGAATCACATCTGCATCAGTTGCTAATCATTTGAACAGTCTCACATGGTTCACAAAATTTGGTAGCAATAAGCTGGAGTAATGGAATCTAAATGTGTAGGCAACAAGCAACATTGTATTACTTGGTATCTTGGTCTAACTTTAGTTTATGGGTTGTGTCTTCCCTAAGCTGTTTAGTTTGTGATCTCGGAATTAGCAAGTGATCACTTTTTTATATTTTGTGTTCACAATGTAGATACTTACTAGCATCTAACCTAGTTAACCATTTCCCTAGGATATAAAGAATTGCCTGTTAGTGCTAATTATGCTTTATATTTTAGAAGGGAAATGCTTTTCCAGCTAAATATATTCAGCTATATTTTACTTAATGATGTTGCATGCAATAATGGCATGCATGCTTTATCTTCATTGGTTACCTACATATTAAACACCCCCACCTTAAATAAAACTTGTAAAGCCACATCTGATAGTAAACTTTCTGGTAATTTTGTTGGTTGATGTGACATTGAATGATGGTTTATGCAATTGCAAACATTTTCAGCATTGGACAAGTTAATGCTGAACTCTATGCATTAGCAGCTGGCACTTGGAATTTAGAGACTTTTGGCAATGGTAATGGTAATGGTCAAAATCAATTGGAGAGGTGGATGCAAAATTATGTCAACGCACTTTGCATCAATGCATGGCAGGTAATTTGTCATCCCTTTTTAAGGAATAAGCCAGACACCAGGCTCGGAAAATTTAAGAAACTAGGTAGGTATTTTCAATTTTCTTTGTTTTCTTCTTTCACCTGATGATAAGTTTTAACTTTATGGAATCTGAAAAAGTCACAGTGTCACACTAACATATACTTCCTCCGTTCTTTTTTAATTGCAACGGTCCACATTTCACGTTTGCCAACGCACAAGTTTGACCACTAATAGCTTTCATTCCTTATTAGTAAAAAATTAATAAATTCAGGTTTTGAAAATTTACAATGAGAGGAATTTAAAAATATTTTTTTAAAATTTAATTTATAATACATTAATAAATAAAATACAGTCAAAGTAGAACATGTGAATAGTGTAAAAAGTCCAATGTTGCAATTAAAAGAGAACGGAGGTAGTACTTCGTAGTTAGCGACTTAGTGCCAATGATAAGAATAAGAAATATAACCCGTGCGTTTCTTACAAACAGTAAAACCTACAAGTGTATGATGCCTTTGAATGAAATTTCCTTTTATTTTCTATTTTTGAACATAGTATCTATTTACTCAGGCTATTCTCTTACATGTTTATGCTTTAGAGTTTAGGAAAGTCTTTACGTAGCTTCCTTCAAACCTGAAATAATACGCTAAATATTACTCCATCCGTTGTGAAATTACCTCCGTTTTGACTTTGTAGTTTGGCACACTTATTAAGAAGTGTGTTGAAAAATTAGAATGTGGTTCATATTCGGTTAAAATGAATTTAACAATATTAACCCACATTTATTTCACTTACAGCAAACATGATTATATTGGGACAGAAAACATGATTATATTGGGATGATAAATTAAGAGAAACAAGAGGATTATTTCAGGATGGAGGGAATATTGAAAACGGATGAAATAGATTATAACTGTTTTCAGTGCTAGAAGTTTGAGCAAACTAGCATTTGACTCAAGTTTCATATTCCCCACTATGTTCCGAAGCATTACATGTCGTGCGTATTTTATGTTCATCTTATTTTAAAGATTTTTCTCTTAACTGCAGACATGAATTTACTGTCGCAGGTTAAGAATTATATTGATGTGTATTCAGACTCATCACTTATTGGGTTTTCAGACAAAGATCTGTCACATACTACTGACCTTTATGATCTGGCACAAGAGATGTGGTCACATACCAAAGATGCTCTGGTGCAATGTCAAAATGGGAATAGCTCTACATCATTACCAATACTGAAGAAGCAAATTTATGCTTATTCTAACCTTTTGGATAGTATTAAAACTCTTGCTCGATCAAAATGGACAGAGTTTAATTTAACGGTGATGGGTGCTGGTTTTGCCTTGATGTTGCTTTCTCTTCTTTTCCATGTTATCTTCATCAAGAAGTTGGACAAGTCATATGGATTGCATTTTCCTTACTGTGGCAAATTTTTGATATCTTTGGAGGTTCCTTTTGCTTATATTACAGTCTTGATCCGGGCATTTAGCTTTCTCTCGAACAGTTTCATTTGTAAGTTCATTACAGGCCCCAAATTTGCAAACTGAAGTTGATGCATATTTCTTCCCTTGAATTAGGGCTTTCTCATATCTTATTTGATGCATATATCTTGTTTCTGGATCTCAGTGGAAGAAGGAAAAGTCGCTATTTTTCTTTTAGCAACAACTGGAACTATTCAGTTACGCCGAGCAATAGCTGCAAATAAATTGCAATCAGAAGTAAGTACTACTTACATTGTTTCTTATTCGTAAAGAGTTTATTGAAATACACCCACTATACCTAACCGAAGTCATTGATGGGAACTAAGAAGAACCATTGCAATAATCAGAATAACCAGCCTAATTTAATAGCCTACACATTCTTATCATCATATATGATCCAAAGACTAACAACAACAACATTACCCCAGTGCCGCAAGGGCTTCCACCTACGGTGGGTAAGGGGGTCGGATGTACACAGCCTTTCTCCTGTACCAAAAAACAGAGACTGTTTCCGGATGACCCATGATTAAAATTGCGTCGAAAATTGTATGGATTAACTGGTGCTTCATAACAAAGAAGCGCAAACAGTTTAGTGAGCCATTTTGCTTCATTCCATCATATTCACAAGCCAAATAATAGTGAGTCTTTGGCTCCATTGGAAATGATGGAAAATGATCCAAATACTAAAAGAGTTCAATTTCCTAGGCCTAGTTTAACACTTTAACCCTAGTCAAACCCTACTTTTGTTTTCAAGTAAACAGTGAACTTCGCATAGGATGCTGTTGCTGCCAAAGCGCAATCATTATCAAATTGTGTCTCTTGGTTTTAGTGCCTAAATCCTGCTTCTTCATGTAGAAGATATACTGACAAAATGATAGAAACCTCCTATTATCCAGAAGAATTACAGAAATTCTATCAAGAAACAAAGTAATCTTTATTGAAGAAAGATGAATAGTAATCAATACAAGGCTGAAGCCCCCAAAGCCGAAGCCCCAAAAGATCGAGATGTTCAGTCTCGTATCCTTCCCAGTCCCAAGATCCAATGTCTAAAAGCCTGCCTACTAACTCCCCTTTTCATCTATTTATACTACAATACTGCATATACCTTTATTACAACTATACCCTTATTATTATTCTTTCTATTATTAATCTAATAGGTAGGTCCCTATCACAAAAGAAGGCCTGAAAACTTTAGCCTTACATTTTTACTTTATTTATATGAATCTGCAGGCTCTAGTTTTTCTTGTCCTGGTCCCCTTCCTCAGATTTGGAATCGAAATAGGACAGTCAAAGCAAGCAGTCAATTCTTTATTTTTAAAAACATTTCCTTCATGGACTCTAGCAGTAGAAAAAGATTCTGTGTTCTGGATTTATGGGGCTGATCTCTTACCAATAGTAGCTCTTATGCTTCTAGCATTTATGGTGCACAAGAGCGCATCTCAAGGCATCTCGAAGTATATTGTTGCAGGAACTATATGCAGCTATGTTCTAACAGCCTTAATTTGGATTACAGATAGTAACATGTTTGGTTTAAGTGTTATAATTGACAGCGGTAAAGCAAATTGGATTTCTCGAATAATATATCTATTAGGTATTATGCAAATTCTATTATTGGCAATCAGCCGATTTTCTAGTAAACAAGGAACTTCAGACCGGGATAGATGCAAAATTGATGCGTTGTCTATGTTATTCGCTTGGAGTTCAATCATCATCATTCTGTCAGGAAAACAAGGGCCTTTGGTTGCTTTAGTAGCTGTGGTTGAAGGTGCAGGCCCTTATTATATTTTATTATACTTCCTGTTTTTCAGTGTTCTATTCAGCTCCAAATCTTCAGTTTGTTTCCCAATTTCCTTTTCTTTAGTATACCATTTCATTGTAAGTATGAAAGTCTTGATGTTATTCATATCCACATTCTTACATAGGTTGGTGCATACTGAGGCTAGCGAGATTAGAGCAGGGAGATCTGGGTTCAACATCGCGTTGTCTTCCAGTGATCCAATGGAGCCTATTAGCTGCATGCCTCTTTTTCTGTACTGGTCACTGGTAATGTATTTTCTTTCTAATGATGCCATATAGTCTTGGTTTTCTGTTTTGAAGTTTAGGTCCATTGGATAGTTGGTCTCTGTTTATTACTACTCGAAGCAAATGTAGACTATGCTTGTAGAGGGTTTCTCTAATTTACTGTGTAAGATTCTGTGATGGCACTAGTTCCAATTTTCTTTGAATGGTGTGACACGATAAACTGATAAAGTACAGCCTCATCCCAAATTTGTTTGTAAGCCTTATCCCAAATTTGTTTGTAAGCCTCATCCCAAATTTGTTTGTGAAGAAATGTTTCTCTGATGACCCAAGTGCAGATGGATTTTAAAAGGCATCTTTGATTTTTTCTTCTACTGTTTTGTACTCCCAACTAGTTTCTCTGTCTTTGATGTGACACTTTTTCCTTTGCAGCTGAGTTTTTCTTCTCTTTCTAAAGGAGGAGTGCAAGGTGCAACCCCTTGCAATTTGTTTTTATCTTTTTAAATTGTGTTGGTTCATGTTGTGCAGGTGTACATTTGATGGTCTCCGTTATCCTGCGGCTTTTATTGGGTTAGAACAATTGTTTCTTTCTTCTCAAGAAATTAGGGTCATTGACCTTAGTCAGTGATTTCTCGGTTATTAATTTCTTCTTTATCTTTCCAAGCTGATGGGGGCAAAGGAGCAAAAATTATTTGAATGAAAACAAGGCTTACTTTTGTTTACAATTGTGGGAAACCTAATCATATGTATGCATAAAAGTGACACCGCTCGCTCTGCCATCTACTTGTTCCAGGTTTGATGAATTCAACCTTGTTCGTCAAGCTGTTCTTCTGACTATTGATACATTCGGCTTTTCTCACATTCTTCCGATTATTGGACTTCCGTTTCTTGTTGCCTACCAAATTCCTGTGAAGAATACCAATCAATTTTTTTACACGGACTTGTTACAAGTAAGCTTATCTCTGCAAATGTGTACTAGGAATTCATCAAACAATGGAGTGTTTGAGGCATATAGGTTTCTTTAATTCGTTTCAGGTATACTTAATGTATGGACTTGCTATGGCTACAACTGCAACCCTCACTATCTTATCTGCCACAATACAGAGACGGCATTTGATGGTATCCCCTGCATTTAGATTCTCAGATGCTTTATCACCAGTCATCTTAGCTGTTTGATTTCATCATTGACAAACATTTTTTTTCTAGGTGTGGGGATTATTTGCTCCAAAATTTGTTTTCGATGCAGTTGGTCTTCTTCTGAATGACTTCCTAATATGCCTAACATCACTCTACTATTTGTCTAACTGAACACCGACTTAACAAAATCTACTTGGAGGCAGGTGATTCCTCTGCTCTTTTACATATCATAAGCCTCCGTAACCAATGATTTGTCGGCATTTGTTTACATATGAGATCTATAATATAATGTTATTCTGATATTTGACATGCACGCATCATAACCGTGGTCAATTACCAGAAGTGTTTGAATGGCAGCAAATTTTCATGTTACTCTTCTTGGCTTGGGAGTCTAGATTCCCCGTCCATTTGATGCTTGCCTTTTTGTGCTGCTGATTGGTTATCAGTTGGATTGAGGATTAGATGGATACAATACAGAAGAATCTCACCCTGAAGCCTATCTTCGTCTGTGAACTTCAAGTTCAACTAAGTTCAACCTCACTGCGTTACATCTGCAGTCAACTAATGCTTTCATTTGTCATTGTGCAACTTTCTGTATCTTTGAGCTTCGGAAAACTTTTTCTCGAATTGCTCATCCTCATTAAGCTCACGAGGAACATACTTTTATAAAATCTCTTGCACCCATTGTCACAAATTAATGCCAGAAATTAAAGCCTTAGAACACAACACTTTTATGATTAGAGCCCGTTTGGTAACACTTAATTGGATTATTATATACTAGGTTGAAATTCGTAATGAATATGCTTAATTATGAAAAATATGTAGTATTAAATAATTTTCATTATTAACATAAAGAACAAATTATATGAAAAATAGAAAAGTACTCGTCTTCAGCAATTTCAATCCATTCGAAAAGTAATTACTCGATTATTACACAATTTGGTGTGTTTGATAAAAAAAAATGATTTACAAGGAAGATAAGTTAAAATTTGGAGTTGTCAAATGATCTTTTAGTCTGATTGATTTTTATACGAGTTTGAGTTTATTCTCCAAAAAACATTGCTTTTTTTATCATAAAAGAGCGTCTATTATATTAAAATCAAGAACAGACAACTTTTAGACAGAATTTACAGATCCAATCGTGAACCCTTTAAGTAGATTTAGAGTCAAACACCTCATACAAAACAACATGACTTGCTAAACCTGAAACAGACAAATTTAGGCCCAAAACGGATGGAACCGAAACCCTGTCTATCAAAAGAACTCTAAAAATCCAAACATTCAAACTGAATTTACTCGGACTAAAACATAAACAATTGCTACTAAAGAGAAAATAATACTGAAATATACCCTTTTCACAAAGCTCTTCCTGGCATGAAGGTGGTTTCGGAAGGATGAACTTTTACAATATGGGTGAATATCAACTCCACCACCGTTGGAATGGTCAATCAAGACTTCACGATCCAGTCTCAATACAACCTCCCAGTCGCACTTGTTCATCTGCCAACATTATCTCCTCTGACGTAGTTAAAATCCCAAGCGTTAGAACACTTAAAATAAGTATAATCTTCCGCTCCAACCCCATATTGATAGGTGTGGTGGAAAATCTCAACCCCGACAATGAGGGAAGACAGCTGTTAGGGTTTCTCTCTCTCTCTCTAGAGAGAAGAGAGACCATAGTTTCTTCCCTTCATTGCTATGTAAGGGAAAGGCATGCCTTATCATGAAAATCATTGCAGACAACACAAACATAACCCACCAAATATATATGAAATACGCTACCATGCTCATTGCATAACTCGTTGGCGTGATAAATGCCAAAGATTTACCTATGGGTGAGCAAATAACCGAATACACCGACGTAACCAATCACAGAATTTCTTTCGAACTAGATAAAAATGCTTATCATAGTCAGTTATAGATTGATAATTATTTGTAGAAAGGTTACCGAGCCAAGCGTTATATAGCCCGCACATCCAAATCCGGACTCCTAGGAGCTAAATATTAAATCCAAGTGATGTCGAACATTCCAAGTCAAACGTTACAAACTGAACACCTTGAGGTTGAATGTCCATAGGTTGAGCATCCAGAGCTTAACATTAAGACGTTGAATGTTTTGTCATAAACGTCAGAGATTGAATGTCCCGAAGCCGAACATTCCGAGGTCGAGCATCCTAAGGCCGATCTTTCACAGAGCTCATTGATCGGACGAGCCTCATTGAACCTCACATTACAACAAGGGTTCGGATTGTTGAACGTTTCATGTCAAACGTTACAACCCGAACACCTTTAGGTTGAGTGTCCATAGGTTGAATATCCAAAGCCCAACATTGAGAGGCTGGATGTTCTGCACTTCCAGAAGCTGAACGTTCCAAGGCCAAGCATTCAAAGGCCGGACGTCACGGGTCTCACTCAACAGACAAGCCTCATTGAAGCCTCACATGACAGTGTTTTTCAAAATTTTAATGTACTTTTTTTATTCTTCTATTTAATCCACCTTATAAAATGAAAAATTTAATGAAATTAAAAAAGAAAAATGAATGAGCTTATGGGAAGAGTAAATCGGAATAGGAAGAACCGAAGGATCAAACGGCTGGAAAATCAATCAAGTAGCTACCATTCACCTTAATTTACAACCTCCCTTTTGAAAGTAATTACAAAAATACCTGGTTTTACCTAATCACTCGGTACAAGCGGGTGTACCGTATATTTTGCCTCACATGACAGTGTTTTTCAAAATTTTAGTGTACTTTTTTTTATTTAATTACCATTCAGTTCAATCAAGATCAAAGTTTCGTTTCAGTAAATCAGTAATTATCCATTTATCTCTAACTTGAAAGTTGAAATGAATTTTGCTGAAACAAAAAGATTGTAAAGAGAAGCCCATTGGAAATATTTAAATCAGACGCTTATAGAGCAAAGCCCGGTCCAATAAAAACCCTAACCTTTACCTCGTTTATACATAAGCCGCTGCCCTGCCATCGTCTTCTACCCCTCCCCCCATTTCCCCCCTCCCTTCCTTCGACCTAGAACGAAATGGGTCGCGTCATCCGTGCTCAGCGTAAAGGTGCCGGCTCCGTCTTCAAGTCTCACACCCACCACCGGAAAGGCCCCGCCAAGTTCCGGTCGCTCGATTTCGGGGAGCGCAATGGCTACCTCAAGGGTGTTGTGCAAGAGATCATCCACGATCCCGGCCGCGGCGCCCCTCTTGCTCGTGTCACTTTCCGCCATCCTTTCCGCTACAAGCACCAGAAGGAGCTCTTTGTCGCCGCCGAAGGGATGTACACTGGGCAGTTTGTTTACTGCGGTAAGAAGGCCTCTCTTATGGTAGGAAACGTCCTCCCGATCAGATCTATTCCTGAGGGTGCGGTCGTCTGCAACGTTGAGCACAAGGTTGGTGATCGAGGCGTGTTCGCGAGGTGCTCCGGTGATTATGCCATCGTCATCAGTCACAACCCTGACAATGGAACATCTAGGTATATGAGTTTATCCCTGTGAATTTTTAAAAAATGTTGTCTTTTAAGTGTGCTGGTGTGATTATGAGCAAGTCTGTGAGGCATCTTAATTTATGTTTTATCTCACTGATTGCACACTCGTTTACACTATGTGTACATGATATATCATTTCATCGTAAATAATTGACCAACTATAATCTTTTTATAGTTGCTTTTCTTTTACATACTGAATCGTTATTTAGTGATTGGCCTAATTGGTTTCGAGATTCACACTTGGTATAATTACTCTTTTGTCTCGTTAAAGTTTATAGAACCCCATAAATTGAATTTTACAGTGTCATCTTCTGAACTAGCTTCTCCACTAATTGTTTGCTTCATTAATGTTTAATACATGGATGATCTGACAAATTATTGCAAATCAATTTATGCCTTCCCACTCGCAGCTACATGTTGACTTCACACGATCATAGTAATTTGGTTTGCCCAATAAGTATTCTTGTAAATTTCGAGAGATGCATTATTTGATCGTGACTTTTAGCGTATTGATTGACATTTAACTCCATTAAACAAACTTTGACCTTGTTAGCTACTCCATTCGTTCCATAAAAGAGTTGTTGAATATCTTAATTTTCAAAACATTTTTCAATGCAAAAGTCTTTTTTGTCAATTGAAAGCAAAGTGGCAAGTAAAGTTGCCAATTTATAGTGGCAAGTCTTGTTAAAATCGGTTAAACGTGTTTATCATCCTAGTATGCTTTTATGGTTATCACATAGGCTGTGGTTTGAACATGATTTCATTTTGAACGAACATATTATTTCAACTTCATGAGGTAGTCTTGGATAGTGCAATTTACAACTACATTATTTTGAATGGTACTCTAGATATGTTAGCTCCATCGGGGGAAACTCCAATTAGTTTGAAGTGTTTTTGATCAGATTGTTGAATTCTTGGGCTGCTCTACCATTAAAATAGCTTGGGATAATCTTCATCTAAAACTAAATCAGTCTATGGTTCTGATTATACATGGATTTTGATACTTAAGATTTGCATTAAATAAAACTTTTCATCATTTTCTCTATATTTTCCAGCTATATGTAGTAGACTAATGTTTATTGTCTGTATGCAGGATTAAGCTGCCATCAGGAGCAAAGAAGATTGTGCCCAGTGGCTGCCGGGCAATGATTGGTCAAGTGGCAGGAGGTGGACGTACTGAGAAGCCTATGCTTAAAGCTGGAAATGCCTACCACAAATACAGAGTGAAGAGGAACTGCTGGCCCAAGGTTCGTGGTGTGGCTATGAACCCAGTGGAGCATCCCCATGGTGGTGGTAACCATCAACACATTGGTCATGCCAGTACAGTTCGTCGTGATGCACCACCTGGACAGAAAGTTGGTCTGGTTGCTGCTAGGAGGACTGGACGCGTCCGTGGTCAAGCTGCTGTTGCTGCTGCCAAGGCTGATAAGGGATCTTAAGTTTTATATGTACTATGTTATTTATTATGTCGTGTTTGAGATTGTGCTTGTTAGCCCTTCTACTTTATATAACCCATGCAGACTGTTAAACACTTTTTACTTGGACTTAAATGGGAGCAAGTTTTGGTTTAAGAAAAGTTGTGTTCGATTTTTTGAGCTTGTTTAGAACAGATGTTCTCATTGTTTCTTTATTTACCTGGATAATTGGTCTTGTCTTCATGGGTGATGGATGTGGAGTTTTGATAGTTTTCATGTATTTGTTCTGAGAATGAAATACGTGGTAGGATATCATGTGTTCATGTTTATTTAAACTTGTTGATTTTCGTAAAGTTGGTCATATTTCCAAGGCAATTTCTTAATCCAAAACTCAAGTGGATAATGTGTGGAATTGAAGCATTTCAGCTCTTCGTTTTCTTCATTTTTGTTTACATAAGGTGGTGTTTGGAACAAATTTTGATTCTGCTTCTTTTTTGAAGCAGAATCATAATTGTTTTCAGAAATTGGTCTCCCACAGCTAAAAAAAACTGATTCTACAGTAAATTAGAGCATCATAATCATTTTTGCATTTTTATTCAAACACTTCTGCTTCTGCTCCCTAAGGATCAGAACAAGATTTAAAATCAGATCCAAACACCCCTAAAACAAGTTTTAAAATCAGATCCAAACACCCCTAAATGCGACTTCATTTTCTTCATTTGGAAACATCCAATAATAACTGCATGTCACCAACAAAAATATGTTGGAAAATCACTTTACTAACATTCAATCAAGCTCTACATCTTCCCAAAAACTCACCCAATTTTAGATCTATTTTCCAGTTTTAGATTTTTGGAACTGGTAAAAGCCTAAAACTAATCAACAAACCCAACAAAGTCGACTCCATATTTTCAAAATTTCATGTGACTGGAAATTGTAGAATACAGAGTAAGAGTAGTGGTGAATTGAACAAAGAAAAGAAATCAATGGAAGCAAACATGAAGAAAGGCTATTGGAAGAATATCAATAATAATTTTATGATTAAGAATAATTGTTATTGCTCCCAAAAAAGTGAAAAGATGAAAATGACTCTGTGGAATATGAAAAGACTTTACCATGCATGGGCCTCAATGAATGCACACCTTTCCTATTACATGTTATGAATGAAGACTTTACCTTGAAATCGGACTGGACCGAACCGTTAAAAATCTCACAGATACAATTATTGGCTATCAACTCTGTTTTATTTTTCTGGTTTTGTCCGTGTGCATCACATCTGCTAACACTTTCTTCTAAATCTGATTCAATTCTCAGTCACACAATTAGGGGTGGGCACGGTCCGGAACGGTCCGGTAAATTGGTAAAACCCGTAATGTATCTGTGAGATTTTTAACGGTTCGGTCCATTCCGATTTCAAGGGTGAAACCGTTCGGTGCCATGTCGTTTAGGAACGGTACAAAACGGTACGGTACAATGTCAAATACATGCTAAAATTTTTGAACAAATCTTGCAATTAGTAGATATCATCAACCAACCAACTCACATGAAATGTTGATATAAAACAAGAAGTTGCATATGTAGTATTAAAATTCACAAATAATGCAACACAACTAAGAAAAAGTATAGCAAAACGATGACGCATGAGATAAATGTCATCTTTAATTTACTAAGTTCTTGTGAAATTGTGAAAATTGTTAAATATCCCACACCGGAAAAGTTTGGATGAACTAAATGCTATATTAATACATGGGCTACTCCTCCCATCAGGTTGACCTTTTAGGATGGAATCCCGTGTTTCAACATGGTATCAGAGCCAAATCGATCCATGGTGTGGGGCCCCTTATGAAAATGATTATAAAAAAAGACAATTACGAACGGATGAAAAAAACTGACCGATGAAAAAAATGAATCATGACACTATCCAGACGAAGTGTCTGGTCGTGAGGAGGGGTGTTAAATATCCCACACCGGAAAAGTTTGGATGAACTAAATGCTATATTAATACATGAGCTACTCCTCCTATCAAGTTGACCTTTTAGGATGGAACCCCGTGTTTTAACAAAAATATAAAAAAGAATATCATTACATTGTTGAATATAATAGAAATGTTCAACGTTATTCTTCTTCTTCGTTCTAGGTTAAATATTACTCCGTAGTTCTAATTTAATTTATAGTTGAACCTTGAGAACTAAGATTTAAACCATATTAATTAAATTGTAAAATTGCACTAACACCATACAACAAAAAGTCATGTACACTACATTAGTAGAAATGAATAGTCATTAATGATTTCTAGAATTTTAATATTTTTTCAATACAACATACCAAAATATAACATTAATTATCAAAAAAGAAAAAATAACGAGGTAAAGGTCAATCTACTCGAAGTTGCATAAAAAGGGTCAAATAAGTCCTTATTGTCCGGCCGTCGCCATTTGAGACAGTTCCCGGTGAAATTTCATTATGAAATTTTTTGAGCATCTTATTCATTAAGTCTACTTTACTCATACCAAATTTGAGCTAAAACTTCAATCGGGAAGGCATTCAAATGAATTCAAATGAATTCTTGAAGATAACTGCGTTTTTAACTGCGCAGTTATCTTCAAGAATTCATTTGTATGCCTTCCCGGTCGAATGTTTAGCTGAAGTTCGGTATGAGTAAACTAGACTTAATGAATAAGATGTTCAAAAAAAATCATCAAAAAATTCCATCAGAAACCGCAACAAATGGCGATGGCTGGACAGAGCCTCCTATATAAGGACTTATTTGACCCTGTTTTTTTTACAACTTCAAGTATCAATCTAACTCTTACCTCAAAAAATAACAATATATATATATATATATAAATATATATAAACATTTAGCTTTAGCTATTTTAGGGATGCATGAATACATACTTGGGCTATAAAATTGTTGGTCTATAGAAGAGATCTATTCATATAGAAAAATATAAAAAATTCAAATGCATTATTTTTGAACGTTTCGGTTCGATATTTTTCGGTTCTCAAAATCTAGGACCGGTCTCGTACCCGTTTCAAACGGTACGGTTTCGATACGAGACAAAAATCTATAGAACCGTCTAAATACCCGATATTCTGTTCGGTACCATAACGGGACGGTTCGGTACCGGTTCAGTTCGGGTTTTATGCCCACCCCTACACACAATGGACGCTTCACTCCAGAGTCTAGACTCACCAAATATTTGCTTGGAGCCACTGGATAGAATTAGAAGCCTCAGCCGTAGTCGCATTTCGACCTCCCTTAGACGCAAATCGGCAAACTCCAAGGACTCAACACAACCAGGCATTCAGTTTGGATCGTTCCTTCACCGCACTGTCTCCTCTGCTACTTCACATACTCAATCTACTCAATTTTGAGGTATTCAGTTAAAAATCATATAGCAATCGATGTCTTATGCCTGAACTGTGAAATTCAATATTTCCAATGACATATTGACATGTTAACGAGACAATGACATAAAAAAAATGAACAGTGACATCATCTTTGTTCAAATATATGACCTTGCTAGTCACATTTTTGTCGATATTTAAAAGTATTCACAATTTTGGAATTTGACTCCAATTTAGTGATATCTATGGACAAACCCCTTATTTTAATCTCATAATACGTTAATGACTTATAATATTTTACTGGGATAAGAGTCAGATAGGGTCTCGAACTTACAAAAAAATGTCAAATAAGGCCTTATATAAGATGTTCTGTTCGGCCGACGCCAGTGGCGGAACCAGAACATTTTTCGAGCGGGTGCTGAAAAGTAAAGAGAGAAAACATTTTGTGTGATCTTAAATATACCCTCCAAGTCCATTTTGAAGCAATTAGACATATACTCCTTTCATCCTACAAAAACCAAATTTGATTTGAATGTAGAATAATAAAGAAAAAAATGTGTAGTTGAGATTTGTGTATAAGGAAACAAGCTACTTTAACCACCTATTTATTACTCTAAATGGAAATGCCACATTTTTTCGAGAAGATAAAAAAGAAATTCCGACACCAAGTTTTATTGAATGGAGACAATAATTTTAAATTTGGAACAAATATATACTTAAACTGTATTGTAGATGACATATTTACCAAAGAAATTTGACCAAGTTTGAGACATTAATTTTTTTTAATAATAGAGAGTTAATATTTTAATAGTCAAGGTTTGTGTCTCGACAAATGTGAAATACTGACCGTTGGTCCGCTGCATTTATTTAAGAACGGAGAAAAATAAATACTGTAATACAACGTATGTTTTAATTAATCAAAATAGAAACTTTGTACATTGTAGCATAGTTAATATGATCACCTTAAATAGACATTAGTAAATTAATTAATAATAGACAATAGGTAAATAGGCACACAAATCAAACCCTAGTTTGTAAAAGTTAAAAACAAAATCATTAAAAGTTTAGAATTGGGCCGTGAGTCACTAATAGAAAAGTCAAAGTAAAGAACCATTTACTACGGCTTTTTGCTGAACGAATTGGGCCGGCTGAAATGCATACCGTTCTACTCCGTATAATTTTATGACTCAGCAAAAACGACACCGTTCCATTAAATGAAAAAAAACATGAACAATCATTTTATACTCTGTTCGGCGGCTAGGGCAAAAGAAACGCAGTCGGCAATCAACGGAAGAAGAAGACGACGTCCCAGCTCCAGGGGCGCGATGCAAATAACACATATACCTACTTTAGCTATTCCGGCGAAGGGGGAGCGCCAGCACCGGCTCGCCCCCCCTAGTTCCGCCACTGGCCGACGCCATTTAGGGCGGTTCCCGATGGAATTTTTTGATGATTTTTTTTAGCATCTTATTCATTTAGTCTAGTTTAGTCATACCAAATTTGAACTAAAAATTCAATCGGGAAGGCATTCAAATAAATTCGTGAAGATAACTGCGCTTGTAACTGCACAGTTATTTTCAAGAATTCATTTGAATGCCTTCCCGATTGCATTTTTTATTCAAATTTGATATAAGTAAACTAGACTTAATGAATAAGATGCTCAAAAAAATTCATCGAACAATTTCACCGGGACCCACCCCAAATGGCCTCGGCCGTACATAGCATCCTATATATGGCCTTATTTGACATTTTTTTGTAAGTTCGAGGCCCAATCTGACCTTTATCCCTATTTCACCGCACTGTCTCCTCTGCTACTTCGCATACTCAATCTACTCAATTTTGAGGTATTTAGTTAAAAATCATATAGCAATCGATGTCTTATGCCTGAACTGTGAAATTCAATATTTTTGACGACATATTGACATGGGCGGAGCTAGGGGTGGGCCAACCTAGGCCCTGACCCACCCCAAAATTTAAAAATACCTTAATTTTTAGTGTAAAAAATTCCGGTCTAATTTTTTTCAAAAATATTCTTTGTACCGACCCAGTGCGGGCCCAGTGCTCTGGCTTCGCCCGTACATATTGACATGTTAACGAGACAATGACATAAAAAAAATGTACAGTGACATCATCTTTGTTCAAGGGAAAGGGGGGCAAATAAGCCCACGTACTAACCAAAAAGGTCAAATAAACCCTTATAGAGGAGGATCTGTCCGGCCGTCGCCATTTGGGGCAGTTGCCGGAGTAATTTTTTCATGAACTTTTTTGATCATCTTATTCATAAAGTCTAGTTTACTCATACCAAATTTCAGCTAACAATTCAATCCGGAAGGCATTCAAATGAATTCTTGAAGATAACTGCGCCTTTTAATCAATAATAGAGATTATTTTGAAATAATTTATACTTTGAATTATTGTTCTTGTCTATTTCTCAAAAAAAAATTACCTCGAGTAATGTCAATTCTTTCAAAATGATAATCATTATGATACTCATTTCTCCAAAGGAAAAAGGAACAAAAAATTATGAGATTGGAACAAAAAAACTCCCAAAGGTTGGAACTTGGAAGTGGGTCTAAAACGAGCACGGATCCTCTCCAGTAACTGGATGCTTCCAGTTGGAGAGAGACAGAGAGGAGCGAAATTATGGTGAGGTATGTTGGTGAGTAAGATAGAAAAAAAGGTAGAGATAAATAGGAAAAAAAAAGAAATGGATAGGAGATGGAGAAAAAAAAATGGAGAGGAGCTGAACTAGTAGAAAACTACCCATCCATACCGTTTCCTCACTACAACTAGCATCCACTCCGTTAGTTTACGCCTTAACGGAGGGGAGAAAAAATTTGGCTTGAACCCCAGGTTGAAAGAAACGAAGAACACAAGGAGGCTACTTCAATTACTCAGCCAGAGCAACGAATTGGAGGTAAGTATTAGGGTATCTTTTGAACAATGGTTTTGAATTTCGTGATTGAGTTTGTCTAAAATTGAGATTTCTCGTTTATCCCTACCAAAAGATAATGATGCTGGTATGTGTTTAACTGTGATGTACTAATGTACCCGGCCATTTGTCTTTTCGATGGGTGTAGTTGGTTTGTGTTGCCAGATTACCCGCAAAGACCTGTTTTTTTTTTGTTTAAATTTCGGGCCAGTATACAAAACATCCAACAGCCAAAAGATACTGGCAATTAGATACCAAGGGCAATACACACGTTGTAACTTCTCAGAACAAGTTAAGGTATTCCATAATACTTTGATCTGCACCACACTTTTTCAGAGATATTTGAGTTGGAACGAATATGGTCATCCAAACATGGGAAAACAAAAAACACGTATGTAGGCCCTATTTGTGTGTGTATTGTAGATTATGATGATATATTAAAGATGACTAAATGTTTGTTAGTAAATGACTTCTCCCTCATGTATAGCCAGTATACTTAATTAATTATTTTGAATTGATTTGTTCTAATATTTTGATTTATTTAGGACTGAGCTGAATACTAGAGTTATTATCGATTGTCAAAATTATATTGATGGTGAAGCAGGGGACCTTGATTCTACAGAGTGGTCAGAAATTTTCCTTCCAAATTTAGGCGCCACAGAGTGGCCAGAAAATTTTCACCATTGTTGAGACCAGCAAGTGAGATAACTGGATTTGGGTTATTTGTTGATATTCTTTATGGAAGACAAACTCTTAATGTAAGAATATTTGAAATTGTTTACTAACGTATGTTTATGAGATATTGAATTTATTTCTTATTCACAGTTTATCTATATTGAACTTGGTTATTACAGTATATTTTTTCTTCATTTGTGCAGCCTAGTATGCAAAGTGAAACTGTGATATCAGTGGGTTCTTCTGTACAACAGGAAACGATTTTTTATGATGATCTCAAGGGTTCCGATCCTTGATGAAGAAGCTACAAAGAAGAAAAATGCCAAATGGTCAAAGTGGCTGACGGAATCTGTTAGTTTGTAGTGAGGAAACGTTAAAGAAGGGTAGTTTTAGACCCACTTTCAAGTTTAGGAGTATTTGTTCCAAAAAAAATAGAATAGGGGTATATATGTTCTCACACAAATAGTATAGGGGTATATTTGTGCCCTTTTCCCTTTCTCCAAACATCAAAGAAAATGCACTCAGCAACGGCCTTCTCCTTGCTCTCCTTCATTCGGAAGCAGGAGTGCAACCGCCCAGCTATCCAACAACTGCATTCTCATTTAATTTTTGCGTCCGCTTGCGTTGTTTCTACCTCCACTCCGATCATCTTCACTCTCTGGAACTCTATTCTCCGGCACTATTCCCTCGGACCCTTCCCACAAGAAGCTTTGTTCCTATTCAAGCACTTACAACACAATCTGCCACATGGGTTCTTTTTTGACAGCTTCTCTTATTCTTTTCTCGTTAAAGCTGCCTCTAATCTATCCCGACCATGTATCGGGAAACAAGTGCACTGCCTCACCTTTAAATCCGGATTTCAGGCTCATGTTTATGTGCAAACCGCCTTGGTGGATATGTATGCTAGCTGTCGATGTCTGGTGGAATCACATAATGTGTTTGAAGAAATGCCTGTGAGGAACAGTGTGACCTGGAATGCCTTTATGACTGGGCTGAGCAAGTGGGGTGAGCTTAGGTTAGCCCGGGCTGTTTTTAATAGGATGCCGGAGAAGAATCTGGTTACTTGGACGGGTATGATTGATGGGTACACACGAACAGGTAAGTTTATTGAAGCGTTGTTGTTGTTCCGCGAAATGGTTGTGTCTGAGGGGATTAAACCAAGCGAAGTGACTCTTTTAACAATTTTCCCTGCTATTTGGAATGTTGGGTATCTTGAATCTTGCCAAATGCTTCATGCTTATGGGGAGAAAAGTGGGATCAACTCTTTTGATATCCGCGTTATGAATTCACTTGTAGATGCATATTCCAAGTGTGGGAGCATACAGTGTGCCTCAAAAGTTTTTGATGACATAGCAGATGATAGTAGGAATCTAGTGTCATGGACATCAATTATATCAGGATATGCGATGTCTGGCATGGCCAAAGAAGCTTCAGATTGTTTTATAATGATGCAGAGTGCACATATACAACCAAATCAGGTTACACTTTTGAGTGTTCTACATGCCTGTAGTCATGGTGGTTTGGTGGATGTAGGAGTTGAATTTTTCAGAAAGATGGTAAATGACTTTGGTCTTCAACCCAATATTAAACATTATGGAAGCTTGATAGACATGCTGGGGAGAGCAGGGAGATTAGAAGAAGCTGAAAGGGTAGCTTTAGAGGTACCCAATGGGATCTCTAATGCTGTGATGTGGAGAACACTTTTGGGCGCTTGTAGTTTTTATGGAAATGCTGAATTAGGGCAGAGAGTTATGCTAAAGGTTTTGGAGTTGGAAAAAACATATGGTGGTGATTATGTACTGCTCTCTAATATTTTTTCCAACAGTGGTAGGTATATAGATTCTGAGGGGGTGAGGAGATTAATGAATGAAGAAAATGCCCAGAAGGTTCCTGGCCTTAGTTTTGGCTAACAAGAAACAAATGGTCTTGAGGGGGGAGGGGGTTCGCTGGGCCAACATCATGTGAGGAATGGGTGAAGAACCAGCCCAGGTACTGGGCTTCTGACTATGTGCCCACTTTTTTATATCTCTTATATTCAATTATCATTATTGTTTTTAGATTTAATGCTTGATTTAGTCCATTGGTTAAGCACAATTTCTCAATTTCGTTCTCAGCTTTTTAGACTCATTTTGATCTTCAACTATGTAATTTGAATTCAACTTAGTCCTCCTCAGACATGTTTCTCTCTAAATAGGGTAATAATTGTCATTTCTATATTTATTGGTTTTGATCTCATTTGTACTCTTCTCTCCGTGTACTAGTTAAAAGGTTAAAACAGCCAAATATCCAGATTACACATACATTGACAGATAGATACACACATACATTGACAGAGATACCCACACATACATGCCCATATATTTTTATATACATACATGATACATAAACACATTTAAGTGGCAAGGAATTGACATATTAGAGAAGTTTAGGTGTTGCATTGTTTTTTCACTTCTAAAATGGATATGGATGATGAATCCGAAGGAAGATGATCAAAAGAAATACCTGGAAGGAAAGTGAATAAGCATGAAATCGAAAGAGAAATTACAACTATTTTTTCCCTGTTCCTTTAGCTGAAAGTGGAGCAAAATGCCCCATCTGCCTGTTAGGAACATAGATATTAATACTAATAAGTGGGTCTGTTATATTGGGCCTATTATTATAGATAATAATAAGAGGGCTTGTACTATAAATAGAAAAAAGAGGGAATGCAATAGGGGAGGCTGTTAGATGCTTGGGACTGGGACTGGGAAGGATCGAGTATAATCTCTTTCCTTTGGGACTTGTGTACTGTTTACCTTGCTTGAATAAAGTTGCAGAATTGTTCTTGAGCTAATTTCCCTGTAGATTAGTTCGAATTTTCTATTGGTTTCTGTTCTGAACCTGCGCTTCCCTATCATTGGTATCAGAGCCAGTTGTGCGCTGGATGACCTTAACGCGTGCAAAAATGGAAGGGAGAATGAATGAAATTGAGCGGATTCAACGAGAAATGGCTGCAACCATGGAGGCGAACAGGGTGACGATGGAAGCCAATTTCTGAAGGGACTGAAGAGAGATATTAGAGCTGAATTGAAATTATACAGTACCAGAACTCTAGCTAAGGTCATGGATGTAGCCTTGTTGATTGAGAATAAAAACAATGAAGTCATGATAAAGAAGAACAAAGAAGAAGGCAAGAAGAGGTGGAATGGGAAAACTGGATCTGAGAATCAACAGCAGAATTGGGGACATAGTAATAAGTGGAGGAGCAACCCTAATGCTACCCCAGGTTATGGGAATATCATACAGGAGAGTAAACCACCTGACAATGCGATAACTCAGAATGTTAAGCACAATGGCCCCAGATTATCACAAAGTGAATTATTAGAAAGAAGCAGGAAAGGCTTGTGTTTCAAGTGTGGGGAAGATTGGAGTAAAGGACATGTATGCAAGATGAAGAATTATAGAATGATGTTAGTGGAACAATCTGAGGAGGAGTCTGAATCAGAAGCTGAATCACTGGAGCATGGAGATGATAAAACTATACCTCTGGAATTGAAGACTATGCAGTTATCTATGTTAAGCAAAGAGGGAATACCTTCTCTGAAAACATTTAAGGTAAAAGGGAAAATGAAGTGGCCTGATGGGGAACAAACAGTTAATGTACTTATTGATAGTGGTGCATCGCACAATTTTATCTCACAAGAATTGGTGGAAAAAGGAAAGATACCTTATACTGCAATGCTGGGATACAAAGTGCAAATTGGCAATGGGGAGTGTATACCCAACTGTGGTAAGTGTGCAGGAGTGGGCCTGAATGTGCAAGGTGTTGAGATTCAGCAGACCTATTACTTAATAGAGTTGGGAGGCACTGATGTAGTTCTTGGTATGGAGTGGTTGGCTGCAATTGGAGATATGGAAGCGAATTTCAAAGATCTGATCATTAAGTGGAAGCAACAGGGGGATACCTGCACCATTAAAGGAGACTCAGCATTGAATCAAATGGAGGTGTCTTTAAAAACTGTGGTGCACATCTCAAAGCAAACAGGAGATGGGTTTTTGCTGTGTAATGAAGGTCAAATGAGTATGCTGAAGCAGGGTCAAAGTACAGGAGGAGAGTGGGCCAGTGTGATAGCTGAATTTCCAGAAGTGTTTACTTCTCAATTAAAATTCCCTCCAGGAAGAGATTGTGATCATGCCATAAACATCAAGGAAGGGGCAAGAATTTCTAACTGGAGGCCCTACGGGAGGACATACAATTATTCTAAGGAAGACATAAGAGAGCCTTTTTCAACAGGTGACTCAGGCCCTTGGTTATTGAGCAGTGGAAATGGCAAGAATAACTATGCAGAAACTGGTGAAAGAAAGATGGTCTCCAACGATGTAACTTCGGGGAGTTTTTGTCTCCAGCCTCTATTCCGGTTTGCGGTGCAAGAAGTGATAATGAAGTTCCAGCATGTTCTGAAGCTCATGGTACCACTACTAGGGAAATATTGGGAAGGAAGAGGTGAAAGATGGAAATGGAAGTGGAAGATGGCTGACTCCTCTTACCCACCTTGAGGACAAGGTGGTTGTTTAGGAGGGGAGTATTGTTAGGAACATAGATATTAATACTAATAAGTGGGTCTGTTATATTGGACCTATTATTATAGATAATAATAAGAGGGCTTGTACTATAAATAGAAAAAAGAGGGAATGCAATAGGGGAGGCTGTTAGATGCTTGGGACTGGGACTGGGAAGGATCGAGTATAATCTCTTTCCTTTGGGACTTGTGTACTGTTTACCTTGCTTGAATAAAGTTGCAGATTTGTTCTTGAGCTAATTTCCCTGTAGATTAGTTCGAATTTTCTATTGATTTCTGTTCTGAACCTGCGCTTCCCTATCACTGCCTTAGCTTACTGTTTGTTCAATTATTTGCAGTTATATTAGAGGATCTTATTTGCAGAGTAGCAAAATGAGTGGCAAATCATATCCTTCCATTTTCCATATTGCTATTCACATTTTATCTGTCTTCTTTTTGTTCAGGCATGGGACTTCATACTGCAGAAATTGATGCTACAGCCAAAGCTTAGACAGTTGTGCTATTTGGGCTTGTAAGAACAATGAAATATGAACTAATTCTTGTGCGTCCATTAGTCTTTTTTGGATCATTTCTCTGTCTCTTCATTCCTTTTTTGAACCCGGTATGATAACCTCCATGCTGGTATCCCTTCATCTCCCTTTGTTTGTCCATTGCTTTTGTACTGGCTGTGTTGATTTTACTATAGTCTTTCATAAAGTAGGTTCACATTCCTCAATTATTTAAGCCTGTGATCCTTCATGTAGTGTGGCTGTGTGGGTGTACGGTGTACCATGTACGGGTTGAGAACATCCGCTATTGGGGGTTTGGGGGCTCTTTTGGCTTTGTAGATGGGTTTGTATGGTGTTCGCTATTTACTTACTTTTTACTGCATTGTCCTTTTACCCCATCGTAGGTGGGAGCCTTTGCGGCACTGGGGTAAATGATGATGATGATGGTGGTGGTCCTTTTGAAGTTGTAATATGCTTTCTTATTGCTCAGATAGTTTTGTGCCACCTTGGGATGTGTTCTCTACTTCACAAAAAATACAAAAGATATCAAAACTTTCATAAAATTTTAAGAACCTCCATTTTTTTAACTTCTTCGAAAACTAACCTGAAATTTATTTGCCAGGATGTTTGTGGAAATAATATCCCGTGTGTCATTGTCAGGGCCTAACCACCAATGCTCAAAAAGCAAACTTAGGACATCCATGCCAGCTCCGCCCATAATGTCAGGAGGTAAATGATCGATCTAAAAGAAGAGCAGTGTGATGTCCTTTCACAGTGTAGAACACTAGAACCTGGGTGGGAAGCATTGCACGCACTTATGGATGCCTTGGAAACATCTCTACTTTTAACGTTAGAGGTAAAGTCTACAGGCATCTCATCTCCCCACACCCCACTTAACTGGTGTATCACTGGTTGGTTTATTATGTGGAACTGTGGAAAAGATTTCAATTAGTACCACTCCATGGATGATTACTCTTTTTATAACTAAAAAATAAATGTGCATATTTTTTAGTGCATGTATCAAAATGAACTATAGAATGTTCATAATCATTTGATCTTGAATAGTTGAATCAAACGGTTGAAGATTTATTCTCTATGGATGAGTATCTCCCTTTTGTGTACCCAGTAAGTATTTGAAACCATACCTATACACACATTGTGTGTAATGCTCCACACATATAGTTTTAACCCATTTTGCGATGGACACCCATTTCCTATCTTACGCAATGCAGGTTACAAGCTCCCTCCTGAATGCGCTCTTCTCCCAATAGCTTCAAGGTTATGAGTTTAACGTTTCTAAAGGTTTGTGAAAAGAGTGGGCTTATAAGATCGAGTTCAAGGCCGAGGTCATTCATATGAAGGGAGGAAGATCTTAGTTTTTTTTATGTATGACAGAAGATAGTTTCAAAATAAAAGCTGTAGCAAGAAACACCCAAATTAGGAGACCCAACTAAAAAAGGAAACATATTGTAGCAAGACTAATAGCCTTAGGAATTAAAAGATGTTCTAAACCAGAATAGGTAAATAACCATAATTATAGAAATGACATTCTTGCTGTCCAATCTAACCAATTTGGGTTCCTCCCTTGTCCCACCTGGGGCTCAGCACTGCATGGCGCTGATAAGACTGTCCACAAAATGAATCACATAAGTTTGTTTGAAAAATATAAAAAATCTTGTAGTTTTTTATTTCATTTCTTCATTACCACCCTTTGTTCCTTTTTGAGGAGTTTATTTCCAACTTGATAAATGCCAAAAAAGAAATGAATTGCTTAAATGTATGATGAGATGAAAATGACTCTCTTCTCTTGTTTCTTTTCCTATATTCTTTTTCTTTTTTGTTAAAGTAGCTGTATTAAAAGAATTGTGGAAAATTCTTCGTTATGATCGAAGTACTATTTGTAAAATGATTCCCTATATGGAATGGGGAGGTAATACTCCTATATTGGTTCGGGGTGTCTCGTTCCTTCCATTTAATTCAATTGACGAATGAAATGGTTGGGAACAAGTCTCTACAAAGAGTGAAGATGCAAGCAGCAAAGTCTTCTAAGAATTGTGAAATCGATGCAAATAATGCAATGATGCAGCCATGCAGAAATAAGAATACTAATCCTAACTTTAAGTTTTCAGAACCCGCGATAAAAAAAAAATGAGGAAATTGAGAAATAATTTAGATTTTTCCGGTAAGGTGATAGGTGAAGAAGAATCCAGTGGAAAGAGTGAAGAAATCAAACATAACGGTCAAACACATGAAACAAGGTATCTAAGGGCTGATAAAGCGCATCGTATCATAGATTTTTCTCTTGTATTTTTGGTGAATCGATGACCAAATACAATTGACTCAAAGTCTCAAACTATGGGTGGACTTGGTTCCGGTCTTGAACCGGCTGGTCCTGGTCAGTGATCGGAGAAGCCCGGGTCTGACCTGGTTAAATTTGGGTCTTGGTCGGTTCCGGATAGCCGGATGGTCTGGTCCCGGTTCTGGTTTTGGTCTTGGGACGAATTTGATCCCGTTCTATTTTCTTTTTCATTTTCAAGGCTTAAAAAAATGTCCGGTCTGAGACCAGGACCGCAGAGTATTGGCCCCGGTTTTGGACCAGTCTGGGATCGCGGATCGGGGTCTCGACTAACTCAATCGGGTAATACGTTTATTTGGTTGGTCACGAAGATGGCACTCACTGGTCAAGATAGACCAAAGTTATCAATCACTTACAAAGCCAACAAACTGAATAACGACACTTAATTACTCTATGTCTCTTATAAGAGAATCTCCAATGTAAAAATGTTAATTATATGTGTCATGAGAGATGGACATATACAACTATAAATTAATTAATGCCATTTTCCTCTCATTTCTTTCCACAGTGTGTTTATTTTTAGTTCACAATGTCAAATACAATATCAAAATCTAGACGTTGTATTTAAGAAAGAGAAATGAGACTAATCAATCTTATGTGTCTATCTCCCTCATGACATTTATGCATTTTTAACACTTTTATATTGAAGATGCTCTAAACTTTGATTCTCTCATTACATTTGTCACTTACCTCATTAAGTAAAAAATTTGTGATTCTTATAATTTCTCTCATCGACACAAATTTTAATCATACTGTTTTGCTTTATTGTTCTACGTGTCTGTCAATATTGCCAAAGTTATACTCCGAAAGGCTACCCGTAATGAGGTGTGAAAATCCCAAATTTGAAGTTTTCACTCCAAGAATGGGTGCAAGTCAAGCAAAAAGGCAGAGTGAGGTGTTATAGTTGGTTGGGAGAACCAATGGATGAAGAATTAGGAAAAAAAATGACACTCCATCCCTCCCTGAGCCCCCGCACCGCCTGGACATTTAGTTGAGAAGATATAAATTGGACTTTAATCACAAGATAATGAGTGAGGCTCTGGCTCCATGTATTTGCAGAGGTCATATACATTTTTACATTAGAACTTCTTATTGCAGTTGTCATGATTCGAATTCGATACTTATCATTATGACATTATCTATCTACCAGTTGATCTATGCCTCGATGTGTCTGGAATTACGAGGATGTATTGATCAAAGGGGGAATTTGACTTGGCACCCCACTATTTGGATGATATTGGACTTTGCACTTCATTTTAAAAAAAAACTTTGATTTTGCACCTCATTTCACTTCAAAATCCTTTGACTTTGCACCCCATTTAGAAATTTTCCTTCACAAATGTTACTGCATTCGTCCCATTTTATGTGTCTCCTTTGGTTTTGACACAATTTTTAATAAAGTGATTGAAAAAGTAAAAGTTGTAGTTGAGATTTAATTGTAGTAAAGTGAAATGTTGTAAACCATATATTTCTTTCCAAAAAGGGAAATATGACACTTATTTTGGGACAACCTAAAAAGGAAGGTAAGACAGGTAAAATGGGATGGAGGGGGGTATATGATAGGGTGCAAAGTCAAATATTTTTTTAAATGGGTTGCAAAGTCCAATATCACAAAAAAATGGGGTGCAAAATCAAATCGAGAGAGGGAGGAGCTAGCCGCAGGTAAGCAAAATATGAGGGGTCCATATTAAATAAAAACCCCAATTTTATTTATATTGATATGACTGTTTAATTATAATCCAATCTTTATAAAAACATATCAAAATTTATAATTTTATGACCTTTCATATGACATTAATATTGCATAGATAAAGTTTTTAAAAAATTATGAAGTTTCATCTGATGGAGATTTTTAGGCTCGTTTTATTTTTAAATAGATCTAAGTGCTAAAATTAATTTTTCATGGCACAAATATTTTGTTTACACGTATCGGTGATTTTTTTAAAATAATGTTTGAAGAAGCAATAAAAAATAAACTTTAAATTCAAATTTTTTACATCAGCATGTTTGACTTTTTAAATTATAATTATTCACGGAAAATTATTTGCAAAAAATCAATGTATAATATTAAAAGGAAGAGTTTAGTTAAGAAAAACTTTTCTGAATGAATATATTGACGATGTTTGATTGCATGAATAACTTAATTGGCCGATTGAATACGTATAAAATGTTGGAAAATTTAATTTATTGACGGAAAGCATTGCGGTTAACTTAAGAGACATGAGTATAAGATTTTAAGATTTCATACTCAAAAGTGGGGCGTAAGATCTGTAATTTAAGATGGGCACACTCCAAATTTATCTTTGTTAGATGAAGCTTTTATGTATTCCCGTGTGGACGATTAGATTATCATGGAAATTTATATTTGTACACAATTTTCATACACACAAATTATACGCGCGCACGCGCCTATTTACATATGTATACAGACAAATCGTTTGAAAACAATCAGTCATTGTCTGTAATTACTTATGTACACAGACAAAATTTATCAAATTTTGTACACATACATATGCAATGTACAATTCGTATACAAATTTTTTGTGCAACAAGAATTTTCCAATTATTATAGATCACTTGAATTTCTAAATGGTGTACTATTGTGGACCAAGAATTTCAGCCCAGCTGGTTGTGAGGTTACCGTGCTAGTGGGAGGTCTCGAGTTCGAAACCCACTAGGCACTTCAGGCCCCCTCCCCCAGACCCCCCTGGAGTAAAAAGAAATGAACACAAAAAAAATTGTGTACTGTTGTGGGGACGTAAACCCAAATTTTGGGTTTAAACCTCATTTCAGTACATGTCCATATACAATATGAGAGATGGACATATAAAATTAAAAAATTGATGATATTTCTCCCTTTTTCACATTCTTATAACTTATTTAATTTAGTAACGTTTTTCTTAACAACGTCAATCATTACGTTCACGTTTAAAGGTACTTAACATTCTTTAGGAAAAATCACCAAAAATATAAAAAATTGTTCGAATAAGGACATAAGAAATATTCTATTTATTTGTTTTTTAACATGATCATAATAATTAAAATTTCTAAACAATTAGCTATCCTTATGTATTTTAATTCAGAGAAGCTTCGGTGAAGTCTACCTACTCTTGTATTTTTCTTTTCAATAAATAGGCGAGGTGTTTCCTAACCCTCATCTCATTTATCTTCGAGTAACGATTTATCACCAGGTTGAAAAAAATAAAATTTCTAAAGAAATTGCCCTAATTCCAAAAGCTGTTATATTTTTAAGGAGTGTTTGTGATTGCTTGTGCTTTTTAAAAGTGATTTTTTAATAGATTATTGGAAAAGTGATTTGTAGTAAAAGTTGATAGTGTTTGGGAATAGAAGTGATTTTAATTAAAATGTAAAAGTTGGAGTGTTTGATTAAAAAGTGATTATGATGGGATAATTTTTCAAAAGTACAAAATCACCCTTTAAACTTTTGGACATAGGGAGGAGGGTATACGAATAAAGTTGGGGGGGGTAGGGGATTTTTTTGCCATTATTATTAGTCATAAAGTTGGAGGTAATTACAAGTTTACCTAGAAGTTATTAGAAGTTGGTACTCTAGCTTTTAGATTTTGACTTTAAAGCACTTTTTTTAAGCAAAAGTTAGGATTTCCAAACACCTTTTTTGGCTTTTTTTAATCTAAAAGCTCCAAAGCACTTTTTTTAAGCAAAGGAAAACACCCCCTTATTCTTTAAAAATAAGTAACTATTTTCTTTTTCCAAAAGCTGTTATCGAAAAATGCCAAAAATTTCTATTTTAATTCAGGATTTCCAAAGTTTCCATCATAATAACTATGAGCCAGTTTGTGAATACTCAAATCAGTTGTGTTGGCTGATTCTGCTAAAATTTATGAAGTTCTTGTTGAAGTGGCTGAATTGGCAAATTATGCTGATTTATGAAAAATTATACGAAGTATTTAAAATATATTTTAGTAATAAAATAAAGAAAAAATAATATGAAAAATAACTAAAATGATCTTCTACGGTAAATTCAGTCAATACGGTCAGCAAAGAAAATCCAACCTTATTTTTTATTATTATTACGGTCAGAAAAGAAAGTAATGTATTTGATGAAAAGTGACAGTAAGCATAATAAGCCGGAAAAAAACTTTACCAAATGGAATATATGTATAAAAAATAGCATTCTTTAAACAATAAGATCTAATCTTGTTGTTGCCGTGTTGTTAATGTAAGGGAAAAGGGGCAAATCCCCCCTTAAAGTTATACTTAAAGGGTATCAAAGCCCCTAAACAAAAATTTGCAGCAAAAAACTCCTGTTTCCTTTAGGAAAGGGCATATCCCCCTTCACTAACGGTGTTGACATAGGGAGTAGTTAACACTTAAGTCTTAATAGCTTGAGTTCAATTTTTTCTACCTAAACCACATCCAAATCTTTTTTTTTTGTGAGCAAATATCTTAAATAAACATGTAGCAAATTAACTAAAAAGTTTGCCCCTTTTCCCTTAAATGTAAGGTGTAGGGGT